TCTTCAGTGAGTTAATAAAAGCTTTTTAATTTCTATATTCTGCCTTACAATTTAGATAGTAATCTTACAGTCTTTTTCGAAAATAATTTCTATCTTTAAGTACTTTTCATAATATTTCATTAACTCTTTGCCAAAGTATTTTTCTTGATTAATACTTTTAGGAGGCTCTTTAGGTTTTTTGGCTTTTTTTGGACATAAATATTTTAATACTCATCTTATCAATCACCCTAAAGAGTTTTTAAATATTTTCTCTTAAAATAAATATAGACCATATTCTTAATTTAAGGAGTTAAGGAATTGAAATGAGATGAATAAGATTTGTCAATTGATAATCCTTTACTTAAATATCTTTGGAGTTTATACCTTATAACATTTGTACATATAGTTATGTTTTGTTTATTTCCTCTGGTAATTCAAATAATAAAATTGTATATTAAATCACTTTTGTTCTAAATAAAACAAGAATATTTTGATATTGATATTTTTTTTAAAGTGATTTTAATGGTTTTTAATATTTAAATAAAGTGTAAATAAATGATTCTATATCGTAATTTAGTAATCTTAAGAAGAAGTGGGAAGAATCTATGTCTTTATGTATATCACTTTATGTAATCTAGTAAGGTATTAGGTGAATAATTTTGTTAATTTTTCAAATATAAATTAGAAATAAGATGAAAATTTATTTAAGCCTTTGATTAATATCATACTATATTGATATTATTTATTTGAGTTTCATATAAAAGAAATAATTATTAGTGGTTGTAATTTACAAAAACAAATAGAATTTCATTCTTATCATATTTGATTTATATTTGTCTAATATTAGCTCTCTCGTTCTCAATCCAGATAAGTTTATTTCTATCCAAATAAAATTCTACTCTTGTTTTCCTATTAACTCTTCCAGTAGATTTACGATAGAAATCTTTACTCTCTTACTTTTCTTAATATTTTAAAATAAATGATTTAATTTTTATAATTTTGATTTGTGTACCGTTTAAAAAATTGTTTAAGATATAATTAATTTAATATTCGTTTTAATAAAATAAATAGATACAATGGAAAGAAAGAAAAAATAAATAAAGAACAGGAAATTTTTAGACTGATACTGATACTAATATATAATTGATTAATATACATAGCAGATAATATGATTTCTAAAGTTAAATATTGCATTTTCTCAGAATTATCTATAATTGGATTGATAAAACGAGATAATTAAATTAGTATAGAATACATCATTAAATCAACTCAAAGGAAAGTAATCCAAAATTTAAAAAGATGATACAATAATTATAAACCAAAAGTTAAGTAATCAAAAGAAGATGCATTTAAACTAAAATATTCTTCATAGTTTAGTCTATAGACATAAAGAAATTTTTATTAGGGAAATTGAACCAGAACAGAAACTGATGAAATATATATGCATTGATAATAAATATATAAGATTGAGATTATTATTCAATTAATCTATTTTGATATGAATATCAATATGAGGTAATAGTTGGGAATTTTTATAATTTCTATTTAACCAAAATAATAATTTCTTCAATGCTAAATGAAATAAAGATAAGTATTTTTGTTTAAATAACAAATTACCTTTCAAGTTGGTTTTCTTATGCACTGTTATTTGGAGAGAAATAATTAAGTCTAATATTTACTTAATCTATTTTCTTTTATGATTAACAGAATCTAAAAAATGATTATTCTTTGAGGATATTGTTAATCTGCTTTTTGAATTTTGAAAGTTAAGATGGAAAATAATTCTGTTTGTAAATAAGACCCAATTAGAAATTTATTACAGTGCTTAAACAATACTGATTATTGTTTATTCAAGTAAAAAAGAATTTCTAAAGCTCATGCAGATTAGAAAATCAAGAGTGAAATGTATCTAAAGGAAATGATAAAAGATGGATATTTTCAAGTGATGAATCATAGTCTAATAGAAATTATTAAATAATAGAAAAATGTTTTGAATAAAGAAGAATTTTTTAATTTTTCTCATAGAAATCATCTGATTTTCTCTTAATAAAACATAAAATTCAAATGATCCTCATTCCATAATACGAATCCAATTATTAATTATGACTAAGTTTGTCAATTATAATATAATAAAACCTATATTTATGGCATATATTATGAATAAGATTTATTATAATTTAAATTAAAAAAGATACAAATGTTTTTTTGTCAAAATTTAGAACATGAAGGAAGTTCAATTGTCGGTTTTTGCCTTTTTGCTGATTGTCAGGAGCCTAAATCTCAATTTTGTGTGAATTGTCTAATCAATCCTTAAAAACATTTAAATTGTAGAATTGACTGCAAACCATTTGATAAAATCGATATAATCCTAGATTTAATTATATATAAGCTAGATTAATTTTAAGAATAAGCTGATTAGAACTTTGAATAGTTTAAATGTGAGTATTAAAAAACTATCAAAAATATTTAAAAAGAACAGCATAGTTTAAGGAGATAGCCAAAAACTTTAAAGAATAAAAATTTAAGGAATTACTTGATAATATTGACAGAGTAAAGAATTGGAATACAAAAATAAAATAGACTTAATTTGAGAAAGAAATTATCGATCTCTGTATTCATAATATTTTACAATTAGGGTTGAAACAAGGAATTGAATTAATAAACTAGTAGGAATACTAAAGAGCTTTAGAAAAGTTTGAGAAAGTTTTAAAAGAAGACTCAAAAAATTATCTGGCAAAATTTTACTAAAGTATAATAAAATAAAAATAAGGTGTTACTTTATTTATTAATAATATGGATTTCTTATCTAATGTAATAAATAAAAACTATCGATCTTTTTAATTACTAGAAGACTTATAAATAGAATATCCAAACTTTTAAGAATAAGCTCTAATCACTCTAAAGGAAAAATTAAGGATAAAAAGCAATAATATAGCTACATTGATGTTATAAAGTATCATAAAATATAATTAAAAGTCTATTCTATGAGTAAATTGAATAAAAGCAATACAATTATTTAAGAGGATATAGATAAAAACATTATATTATATTGTGATACTATTTTAGGTTTAGTTAATAATAATGTNAATATTTACTTAATCTATTTTCTTTTATGATTAACAGAATCTAAAAAATGATTATTCTTTGAGGATATTGTTAATCTGCTTTTTGAATTTTGAAAGTTAAGATGGAAAATAATTCTGTTTGTAAATAAGACCCAATTAGAAATTTATTACAGTGCTTAAACAATACTGATTATTGTTTATTCAAGTAAAAAAGAATTTCTAAAGCTCATGCAGATTAGAAAATCAAGAGTGAAATGTATCTAAAGGAAATGATAAAAGATGGATATTTTCAAGTGATGAATCATAGTCTAATAGAAATTATTAAATAATAGAAAAATGTTTTGAATAAAGAAGAATTTTTTAATTTTTCTCATAGAAATCATCTGATTTTCTCTTAATAAAACATAAAATTCAAATGATCCTCATTCCATAATACGAATTCAATTATTAATTATGACTAAGTTTGTCAATTATAATATAATAAAACCTATATTTATGGCATATATTATGAATAAGATTTATTATAATTTAAATTAAAAAAGATACAAATGTTTTTTTGTCAAAATTTAGAACATGAAGGAAGTTCAATTGTCGGTTTTTGCCTTTTTGCTGATTGTCAGGAGCCTAAATCTCAATTTTGTGTGAATTGTCTAATCAATCCTTAAAAACATTTAAATTGTAGAATTGACTGCAAACCATTTGATAAAATCGATATAATCCTAGATTTAATTATATATAAGCTAGATTAATTTTAAGAATAAGCTGATTAGAACTTTGAATAGTTTAAATGTGAGTATTAAAAAACTATCAAAAATATTTAAAAAGAACAGCATAGTTTAAGGAGATAGCCAAAAACTTTAAAGAATAAAAATTTAAGGAATTACTTGATAATATTGACAGAGTAAAGAATTGGAATACAAAAATAAAATAGACTTAATTTGAGAAAGAAATTATCGATCTCTGTATTCATAATATTTTACAATTAGGGTTGAAACAAGGAATTGAATTAATAAACTAGTAGGAATACTAAAGAGCTTTAGAAAAGTTTGAGAAAGTTTTAAAAGAAGACTCAAAAAATTATCTGGCAAAATTTTACTAAAGTATAATAAAATAAAAATAAGGTGTTACTTTATTTATTAATAATATGGATTTCTTATCTAATGTAATAAATAAAAACTATCGATCTTTTTAATTACTAGAAGACTTATAAATAGAATATCCAAACTTTTAAGAATAAGCTCTAATCACTCTAAAGGAAAAATTAAGGATAAAAAGCAATAATATAGCTACATTGATGTTATAAAGTATCATAAAATATAATTAAAAGTCTATTCTATGAGTAAATTGAATAAAAGCAATACAATTATTTAAGAGGATATAGATAAAAACATTATATTATATTGTGATACTATTTTAGGTTTAGTTAATAATAATGTATATGCTTTATGGATGAAAATTATAATTAAATATATTAATAGTAATTTCATTAATTGAATAGAAAAAATATTAATAAGCAATTTTGAGTGCTGAATAAGGTTTGATAGAGGATATTTAGAATAGTCATTTAAATTATTTAAAAGGTTCAAAAAGAATAATATTTATTAGGTATTGTGCTATTATAACAAAATTAATGTTAAAATGCAATAGTAATTTTTGATAAATCCATTGAACTTGATCCGAAACATGTAAAAGCCTATAATAATAAAGGTTTATCTCCATAATTAAATTTTAGGTGTTAGTTTATATGATTTAAAATAATATGAACAAGCAATAATCTGCTATGATAAAGTCGTTTCGCTTGATCCAAATTATGTTAATGCCTATTTTAATAAAGGTTTTGTTTTTTTTTATTTTAGCAATTTCCTTATAATTTTTGAATCAAATCATGTAAGCTATACAAAATTACTAAATTGCATTAAATATGAACCATCCATCTTCTCATTAAATTTAATAAATTATCAATTAACTTAGAACACCATTATAATCATGAAATTCATACAAATTTATTAATTATTTTTTTTCTATAAATATTATTAAATTTTACTAAAAATTTCTTTCAACTTATCCTTGATCCACTTTACTAATATTAAATAAGAAACTTGATTAAACCTATAATATTTCTCTTATTATATTTTGATAAAATTTATATAATATTTATTATAATTAAAATTTTAGAGTATATCTTTTTATATTCGTCTAATTTAATAATTTTAATTCATTAAATTTTTTTCTCGCTAACTTTGTCTAACTTACTCTAGATATCTTTATATTACTCAGCACTTTTCCATCATAATCATTTTGTCTGAGATAGTCAAACTATTCAAATTTTCAGTTTATGATAGTTCGTTACTTTCAATTTTATGCCAAATCAATTTTTGAGTCATCTCATTTTCTTCCTTATTAAAATTAATTCAATTTTATCTTTCATAACTGTGTAATAAATAAATTTATTCTTTATTTAAATTAGTGATTCTAAAATATAAAATCTGACCTCATTTTATTATTTTATTTCATTTTTGATTCAATTCGCATCCCTTTTCTCATTTTTAATTTTAATTCTAAAACTTCTAAATTATAAACTGCCTTTCATACATTATTCATTCCCTTAATATTCAAGCCTGAAGTGCTTTGAAAATCCATTTACAAAATTAAGCAGATTTTATAATTTATTAATGCATTGCTCACCTTGCTCTCTTAAAGTGTTTAAAATATCTTCTTTGAATTCAATTTTTTGATTTATTCTAGTTCTAACAATTTTTTTTAAGTTTTTATGAATATAAATATTTAGTTAAAAGAAGCTAAATTGATTACTCTATAAAATGATCTTAAATTGATAATATTTTCATATTGTCAACATAATAATTATAGATTACAATCTTCCATATTGAGATTCCAATTTCTTTAACAGAATTATTTTTGCCTTCAACTTTTCTTACCTAATAAGAAATTAATGGATATTAATTTTAATTTGATGGCTGAATTTTATTTCATAATGTGTAAATTTTATTATCGTATTCTATATATTACTCATTATTTATAGTAAAGAAGTTAGAAAAGCATTGATTAATAAAATAATAATTAAATCATAAAACATTAATATTATTGGTTTAATTAAAAAGGATATCTAAAACTAAAGAAAGAAAAATTATTAACTGTAATGAATAACTATTGGTTCAATTATATTTCTAAATAAGTATGCATACATGAGATCAAGTACTACTAGATACAAGATAATATAGACTAAATCATTACAGTAAATCAGATCAAAATTTACTCAGAAGATAGATATGAACCATTAATAAATAATTTTATGGGATATATTTTAAAGAAGAATAATTTGTGAATATTTCAATATCAATTGATGAATCTAAATTGCAAGAAGAAACAAAAATATAATTTATAAAGGTTTAAAAAAAATTTTCACAAGTTTAAAAACTGTATCAGTTTTGAATTAAATCAAAAAATTTAGTTGACTCTAATATAAATTAGTAATTCGATTCAAATGTTAATTTGTGAAAAGATTGTAATTCAAAATTTCTAATAAATAGAAAAAATGAGGAAAACAACATTTTAAGAGGAAACCATAATAATAGTCTAAGTTTAAATCGAAAATTTGAGGTTTAGGAATAAAATAGAAAGATCAATAGAATAGCATCTCACTTATCATTTATATTGGAAATTAGAAGTTAAGAATAAATGAATGATTGTCATTATATATGTTATGTTTACCCACCTAAAAGAATTTAATGATATAAAAAATTTGATTATCAATTATTTTCATCCAAATTTTAAGATAGATTTTCATTTATTAATTTGAAATTTAGTGGTTTAATTAATCATTAAAAAATACATAAGAAATTAAAATGTTGCAGAATTATACAATAATAAGATAAGTTAAATTATTTAATACATTAAAGAAAGAAAAAAATTTTTATATAATGAAGAACCTATGTTAAATTCCAAAATATGTTTTTTTTCTTTTGAGTACAATTAGAAACTAAGATGATATATTTGAGGAAAAAGTAAGATGTAAATTCAGAAAATTTATTATAAAACCTTTTCAATAAATATGTTTGCAAAGATTATTCACTAAGGCTATTAAAGTTATGAGCGTGTTTCCTAGAAATATATTTTTACATATTCACTTTAATTAGACTCATTATTAGATTAATTCTCATATTCGAATATTCAAACCTTTTCTTTTTTTTTTGGGGAATTAATTACTTAAATTTACAGTATTAAATAAATTATTATACAAATTTATTTAACTAATTAAACATAAAATAAGTAAAAATCTTTTCTAGTTATATTGTGGTAAAAGGATTTATAGTAAAACAGGATTAGATCTTGATCTAAAAAATCCTCTGTTTTTCAATAATTTCTAGAATAATCTTATTATTTCTATTTTATTCCAACATTCATCAGAGTATTTTATTTGGAATCATATTTTTGATATATATATGATAACGAAATTTAAGAAAAATGTCTTCATACAGAAAATTAAATTACCTTACAAAAATCTAATATTATTAAAAAAAATAATCTATCTCAGAGAGAAATTATTAGAAAAAAATCAAATCTCATATTTTTTCATGCATTCTCAGTAGTGCTTCAAATATTATAGTTTCCTTAAATGATCATATAACAAAATTTGACTATATTATTTACATATCAAAAACGCATGGGTTATTCTATTAAAAAATAAAANGAGATTCCAATTTCTTTAACAGAATTATTTTTGCCTTCAACTTTTCTTACCTAATAAGAAATTAATGGATATTAATTTTAATTTGATGGCTGAATTTTATTTCATAATGTGTAAATTTTATTATCGTATTCTATATATTACTCATTATTTATAGTAAAGAAGTTAGAAAAGCATTGATTAATAAAATAATAATTAAATCATAAAACATTAATATTATTGGTTTAATTAAAAAGGATATCTAAAACTAAAGAAAGAAAAATTATTAACTGTAATGAATAACTATTGGTTCAATTATATTTCTAAATAAGTATGCATACATGAGATCAAGTACTACTAGATACAAGATAATATAGACTAAATCATTACAGTAAATCAGATCAAAATTTACTCAGAAGATAGATATGAACCATTAATAAATAATTTTATGGGATATATTTTAAAGAAGAATAATTTGTGAATATTTCAATATCAATTGATGAATCTAAATTGCAAGAAGAAACAAAAATATAATTTATAAAGGTTTAAAAAAAATTTTCACAAGTTTAAAAACTGTATCAGTTTTGAATTAAATCAAAAAATTTAGTTGACTCTAATATAAATTAGTAATTCGATTCAAATGTTAATTTGTGAAAAGATTGTAATTCAAAATTTCTAATAAATAGAAAAAATGAGGAAAACAACATTTTAAGAGGAAACCATAATAATAGTCTAAGTTTAAATCGAAAATTTGAGGTTTAGGAATAAAATAGAAAGATCAATAGAATAGCATCTCACTTATCATTTATATTGGAAATTAGAAGTTAAGAATAAATGAATGATTGTCATTATATATGTTATGTTTACCCACCTAAAAGAATTTAATGATATAAAAAATTTGATTATCAATTATTTTCATCCAAATTTTAAGATAGATTTTCATTTATTAATTTGAAATTTAGTGGTTTAATTAATCATTAAAAAATACATAAGAAATTAAAATGTTGCAGAATTATACAATAATAAGATAAGTTAAATTATTTAATACATTAAAGAAAGAAAAAAATTTTTATATAATGAAGAACCTATGTTAAATTCCAAAATATGTTTTTTTTCTTTTGAGTACAATTAGAAACTAAGATGATATATTTGAGGAAAAAGTAAGATGTAAATTCAGAAAATTTATTATAAAACCTTTTCAATAAATATGTTTGCAAAGATTATTCACTAAGGCTATTAAAGTTATGAGCGTGTTTCCTAGAAATATATTTTTACATATTCACTTTAATTAGACTCATTATTAGATTAATTCTCATATTCGAATATTCAAACCTTTTCTTTTTTTTTTGGGGAATTAATTACTTAAATTTACAGTATTAAATAAATTATTATACAAATTTATTTAACTAATTAAACATAAAATAAGTAAAAATCTTTTCTAGTTAAATTGTGGTAAGAGGATTTATAGTAAAACAGGATTAGATCTTGATCTAAAAAATCCTCTGTTTTTCAATAATTTCTAGAATAATCTTATTATTTCTATTTTATTCCAACATTCATCAGAGTATTTTATTTGGAATCATATTTTTGATATATATATGATAACGAAATTTAAGAAAAATGTCTTCATACAGAAAATTAAATTACCTTACAAAAATCTAATATTATTAAAAAAAATAATCTATCTCAGAGAGAAATTATTAGAAAAAAATCAAATCTCATATTTTTTCATGCATTCTCAGTAGTGCTTCAAATATTATAGTTTCCTTAAATGATCATATAACAAAATTTGACTATATTATTTACATATCAAAAACGCATGGGTTATTCTATTAAAAAATAAAATTCCTTCCAGATTTTTCATTATTTAGATTATTATTTTTGATCTAAAGCCCATGAATCCTATATTTATTATAAAATTAAAACTATTATAAACTTTAGCATCTTCTTAACAATATTTATATCCACTTTATTTAGCTGATTATCTATATGAAAATGCAAGACTTTTCAAAATCCTTTGATTTAGTATTTAGATGCATATTTGTTAATTTTTTGTTATCAAAGTGCAAAAATTTGCAACTCTAGTCAAACATCTAATTTTTAGTTACAATCTTTACCAATTTTGAGATAATTTTCCTCATCTTTCTATATTTTATCAAAATATTGACAACCCATGAATGATTTGATTGAAAAATAAAACATAAATCATTTATATCAATGAATAGGATTTATCCATTTAGTCTAAAGAGTTTAGTTTGTAAAATATTTCTGAAGAACATTGTTAACATAACAATTAGAAGTACTAAAGCTATTGACATTTTTAGAGTGCCTTATACACAATTATTTGAATTCTTTCAATATTTATATAATTAGGTATAAAATATTCTACCAAACTTAAATCTAAATACTCCAACAAATAAAAAAATTTTTAATCAGACTAATCTCATATTTGTTCTTTTAAATTATTTTCCCTTGGATTACGAATAACTTGACAAAAATATATGGTTTTCAATTGGTTCAGTAATTTTCTTATTTCATTTTTGAGGTTTGTTTGAATTTTCTTTTTATTTTTTATTTCAAATTAATTATTTCAACTGTGTCTAGATATTCCCCTAAAGTTACCGATTTAGGATATTTTGGCTTATTCTCTAATCCATTCTCCAANTATTATTTCTATTTTATTCCAACATTCATCAGAGTATTTTATTTGGAATCATATTTTTGATATATATATGATAACGAAATTTAAGAAAAATGTCTTCATACAGAAAATTAAATTACCTTACAAAAATCTAATATTATTAAAAAAAATAATCTATCTCAGAGAGAAATTATTAGAAAAAAATCAAATCTCATATTTTTTCATGCATTCTCAGTAGTGCTTCAAATATTATAGTTTCCTTAAATGATCATATAACAAAATTTGACTATATTATTTACATATCAAAAACGCATGGGTTATTCTATTAAAAAATAAAATTCCTTCCAGATTTTTCATTATTTAGATTATTATTTTTGATCTAAAGCCCATGAATCCTATATTTATTATAAAATTAAAACTATTATAAACTTTAGCATCTTCTTAACAATATTTATATCCACTTTATTTAGCTGATTATCTATATGAAAATGCAAGACTTTTCAAAATCCTTTGATTTAGTATTTAGATGCATATTTGTTAATTTTTTGTTATCAAAGTGCAAAAATTTGCAACTCTAGTCAAACATCTAATTTTTAGTTACAATCTTTACCAATTTTGAGATAATTTTCCTCATCTTTCTATATTTTATCAAAATATTGACAACCCATGAATGATTTGATTGAAAAATAAAACATAAATCATTTATATCAATGAATAGGATTTATCCATTTAGTCTAAAGAGTTTAGTTTGTAAAATATTTCTGAAGAACATTGTTAACATAACAATTAGAAGTACTAAAGCTATTGACATTTTTAGAGTGCCTTATAAACAATTATTTGAATTCTTTCAATATTTATATAATTAGGTATAAAATATTCTACCAAACTTAAATCTAAATACTCCAACAAATAAAAAAATTTTTAATCAGACTAATCTCATATTTGTTCTTTTAAATTATTTTCCCTTGGATTACGAATAACTTGACAAAAATATATGGTTTTCAATTGGTTCAGTAATTTTCTTATTTCATTTTTGAGGTTTGTTTGAATTTTCTTTTTATTTTTTATTTCAAATTAATTATTTCAACTGTGTCTAGATATTCCCCTAAAGTTACCGATTTAGGATATTTTGGCTTATTCTCTAATCCATTCTCCAACTAGACAACTGACCAGTAAAAACAGGTTTTAAGTGTTAATGTTAGTTATTATGTTGTGGAGCTCTTGATACTAGAAAGAAAGTCCTAGGCACGATTAATGTTTGTAAAGGGGTTTTAACATGCACCTTGATTTAATTAAAAGAAACATTTTTTTTATAGAAAAGTCCCAAGACATCTGGATTAGATAGTAGGGGATATTATCTGCTGTTTGCAAATATTATACCTGAAGTGAATTTTACCTTTTTTTTAGTTCATCACAAAAATGTAAAACTATATAATATAGTTAGGTTCAATCTGAAGATTAATTTCAATGTAGCTAAAGAATATCATTGGTTGTGATACTAATTAGGTTGATGAAATGATTAAGTTTTTGGATTAAATTGCCTAATTAGGTTTGGATATTTTAGATACCAGTAAAAAGAAATTTTATATCGAGTTTTTAATGCTAATTTTTCTATTTATTAATTGACATGAACTAAGCTTAATAGATTTCTCTTTTTGTAAATAAAATTTGAATTTATTAAACAATATAATCAATTTGTGGTAAAATATCCTTTTTTCTAATGAGGTTTCATTAAAACTAATAGATGGTTATACATCCAGAAAATTTATAACAAATAAATCTATAATTAAAGATATTGGAACTGTAAGATTCATCCTTATAACTAGCCTTTTTATGTTGCCCCAGAAGTATTTGAATCATCAATATGATCAAAAATGTGATTTTTATTCCTTAAGAATCATACTCCATGCGTTATTATTTGGAAATCCATCATTTGCTGGGAGGACTTTTCATTAAGAATTAGAGAGAATTAAAAAGGTGTCTTTATTTTTGAGAGTATTATATTGATTAAATTTATTTCATAATAGGTTGAGATAAGGAGGATATCTATAAAGAATCTAAATCATTTATATCAAAACTCTTAATAGTTGATCTTAAAAGGAGATTATCGGCAAAAGAAGCATTGGATGATCGTTGGTTAGAAAAACACAATCTTACAACATAATTAAATGTAAGGGTGTTAGAAAATATTATATAAATTCAAGTAAATAATAATACATAAACCATAAAAAAAACTTCGATAAGCATTAATGTCATAGAGTAGTCAATATAAAAAGAAATTCAAGATATTCAAAATGAATTCACAAAGTTAAATTTAAATCATGATGGAATACCTTATTAGGATGGGTTATTAAGGGTTATTCTAATTGAAATTAGATACTAAAGTAATTAAGGGTATTGTAAAAATTATTGATTTAATTGATGTATATCTGGACTGATTGATTTTTAGAGTTGTGTATGGCTGCTATGAAGAAAGAAAAATCAAAGAATTGGGTAAGATCTTGGAGCAATCATTGATTATTTAGAGGATATTTTTCTAAAAGCACTAGCCTCTTATTTTAAGAGGAAGTTTAAATTTGACAATTCAATCCTTTATCATTTTTTCATTCTATCTTATTCATTTCTACCACATTTATTAAAGAGTATAATTAAATTCATTATTTTTTTTCTTCTAAATTATATTTAATTATCTGTGACTGTCCAATTATTCAAAAAAAATAGCGCTTCCAACATATGGAACTTTGTTTACATTGCAAAAAACTTATCTTATTTAAATATCCACAAAATCGAATACAAACAAGGATATTTCAAAGTGTACATTTTTAATCATCGATCCAAATAGCATCATACATATGAATACAAAGTTAATAATTTAGAAATATTGATAATGAAAAAATTTAGCTGTTAATTAATAATTAACAGAATAATTAAATGTTTAGTTTAGTTAGAAAATTATTATCAAAATATTATGTTTTAGATTTTTTAAAATATCCGTTATGATTTATCAATCAGTCCAAGTGCTTAAATACTAAGTATATATCACTTTAATTGAGAGATTAAATATTGTGAGGATTATTGCTTAAATGAATAAAGATACTTGAATATTAACCCATTTAAATAAAATTATATTAAAAAGAACCTTTAAAAACAAAAAAACGCAGTTTTTCTAGATTAATTAGATTATTAACTAAAAATTAAAACTATATATATATAATTAAAATTGAACAAAAAAGAGAAAAATTATAAATTTAAATTATTCTTACAATAATTTTATTTCATTAATTAATATCTCAATTCTAGGAAAAAAATTGACACAAATAGTCTAAACACTTATTATTACTATTTTCTCATATTAAAATGAAGCCATTTTAGTTTACTGTATGGAAATATCTTACCATTTTAGAATTTTGTTAATTTATTTTTTTTAATAAGATTTCTAAGAATTATTTGACCAAGAAATGTTTAAAATATTATTGAACAGATTTTATATTACTAAATGACATCCCTATATTTGCTTGCATTATCTAATAATTAAATTACTAAACATATGCAGCATCTAGCAAAATTTCTCATCTTCAATTCAAGTCAACAAATCCTTATGTAAAGCATTCTCTTTTGACTTTTATCTTGTTCTTCTGATTTGAAGTTTTCCTCATCCTTTTATAGGCAACTTTTAATTAATTATTTTATGAAATATTTATAGAAAGACTTGATTAATACTTTTATCTTCCTAATGAAAATGATTTATTAATTTTTTCCAGTTAGGAGCTCAAGCATATTTTATGTAGAATTAAAAATTTTTCTCTATATAAATAGAATTATACATAGATATTTCTGAAAGAGCTTATAATTGTCAAAATGATATATAAGATTACAAAAATCTTGTAAAATTTAACAAAAATCAAATTTCGAGTACATTATTCAAACTCTATAAATATATTATCAAACAAATTAGTCTTCTAAATATATTGTTATTGTAATCTTTGAAGTCTCTTTCAGACATACAAAGAAAAATTATTTAATTCTTAATTTTAATAATACAAGCTAAAATAAAAAGATTTTTTATGAATTCTATTAATAGAAACAAGTTGCAAAATGTAGTTGTTATTGGTATTAATCCTTTGTTTGACGATTGAAAATACAAATTATATCAATTATTATACAATTTATCTAATTTTGAATTGAATTATGACATTCAATTTTTCAATGAAGCATATAAAATAATTATTAAAAGATTTATTATGAATTGGATTAATTCTAATAAATCAGTTATTTTGTATCTAGTTTATGTTAAATAAATCTAGTCTTGAAAATATTTATAATTTATAATATATTAATGTAAATTTAGGAATCTAGGATTATTAGATAGCTTATACATACCATGCTCAGCAACAAAAGAATTATTGAAAAATTATATCAAAAGTATAAAAATAGCTCTATGTGGTTCTTTTTTACTTAATATTGTGATCAATATTGAAATTAGACATTAGAAATCAAATTCAAATCTAAAAGCCAATTTTGAACATTTCTAAAATGAAAATGATCTTAAATAGATTAATTTCTATTCCTCTGTTATAATTTTTTAATTATTCAACTTTTTCTACATCTGAAAATATGCTTCAGACTTTTTAAATTAATTTTTTTTACTATAGATTATTCTTATTTTTATTTCCATATGAAATTGGTACTTCAAATTATTTATTATTAATCTTATCTTATTAAGTTTATTAAAAAAGCAATTGATTTTACTTCATACCAATTTATTATTGTTAATGTAATAACTACCTGATATGATTAGATCTTAACTCTAATTGATGATTAAATATTCATAAAGACTATAGATATCAGCAATATTTAATATACAAGTTTAAGGAATTAAAATACTTTTGAGTACTACCTAACGATTAGTAGTTTATTTAATACAAGTAAATCATCCTATAGAGGATTTTTTCATGAAGTTTAAAGTTAATGTGGAATCCCTAAAAGCTATATTTAAATTTAATTAGTATGATTGTCTTTAATTTTAAATTAGGAGAGTAAAATTCAAATCATATAATAGTCGAATTACCTTCTTTTATTGATTTTGTTAGTTTATCAATGATAGGGAGTATTTTTGAATCCGTTAATTCAGATACGAAAACATTCTTTATTTGCCACCTGTTAGATAAGATATTTTCGAAAATGGTGGCTATTTTTGTATTTTCAAAGAATTCCAGGTCTAATAGTTATCATTAATTTAAACAATGAATATTTTTTATATCCCCACCTATTTACACAAAATATTTAATTGTGGATAAAAATTTGCAAAATGGAAAATTAAAAAAAGGAATTAATGAAATCATAATAAAAGAAATGCTATATTAACAATAGTTAGTTATCTTTTATGTTGATGTAACAATATTAAGTATACAAATGTATTTTATATGATTTATTAATTAATAAAATATTTCTAAGTAGATAAATTTAAATTATTCTCATTACGATATGTGTTCCTACTTCACATCTCTAAATTAAAAGAACAATATTATTAAAAATATCGAAATAATTTATGTAATTTATTATTTCTAAAAAAAAAAAAAAAAGATCTACAAAGGTTAAATATAATAGAAACAGGAATCAATATAAGAAAAATCAAATGAAAAGTTGGTAATCATTTGAAATTCCCTATGTCAATAGTTTTCATTCTAAATCTTTAGGATTTATTTGTGGATTGTAGAATTGTATTTCATAAATATTTTTCTCCAAAAAGTAATCTATTTTATTCAAATGTACCTATGATAGTAACATTAATATAGATCTTATATATCAAATTTTTACAAAAGCATTTAATATTATTCTAAACAACACATTTAATTGAAAAAGATAAATTTGATTTCAAGTTGAGTTTTAATTAATAGTGCCATATTTTTATTAAATTATATTTATTTTCTGTTTGAATCATTTTGAAAAGGTTTTATTATATTGAAAATAGATTTAAAGAATTAAATTGAACGTTACAGGTTTTCTTATAAGTTGATGATAAATCATTTGAATACCTTCAGTTATTATTTCATTATTTTCACAGTTTAATACTAATTTAGATTAGGATTTTTAGGTAATGATTATAAGTAAACCTTTGGTTTAATTGAGATTTGAGTTCTTTATTTGATAAGTTTTTTTTTAAATCAATTTTGCATAAAGAACCAAATCAATAATGATATGCTAAATTTCCAAATTTTCAATGCTTTTAATCAATTATTCCATCTATTCATAAATGGAAACGAATTTGATTTTAGAAATCAATATAATACCCAAGAATTCATTCTCATAATTCACAATTTTATAAATAAATTTTACTAACCCTTACAAGTTGGACAATTATCATTACATTTCAAATATTATCTCAGACTTGTAAAAATTCTGGAATAAAAATATGCTTTTGTTATTTAATTAAATTTTAACCCTATTTTTTCATTATTAGAAAGTATCAAAATATGTTATTTCTAGTCTTCCATTTTTTAAGTCTATTAAGCTTAAAAGATTCACCACAGTTTTTCTTGACCAAATGAATCTATATCATGATTAGCAGCTCTTGATGAGTAAATTTTTTTATTTTAAAAATAAATTCTATTTTGGGGGCTTAATGATCGATATCCTATTTACATTAACAATATATTTTAGGGTACTTATTTTAAATAAATGAACCTAATTAAGGATCAATTAATAATAATAATAATATGTGATAAATCAAAGGCAACTGGAGTTAGGAATCATAAAAGTGTGAGGGAGGAACCACCTGTAGTAATAATTAAATAAGTGCTCGAACCATAATTTCGAAACCTCCGATCAAAATCTTTTTGCCTCTTTTATAGAATATTCTTGGAAATTCATGATTAATTATCATGACAGAGTATGAAATTTTCTATGGGCGTCCAAGAAATCTCTCCAAATCTTTAGAGTATTCAGGCAGCCACCCAGTGGATTTAATCAACACTGCTCTACAGGACCGTGTAATCCAAGTTAACAAGACCTATCTTAAGTTTTAGGGAACCAGAACTTATGATCCCTTGTGCTCTATTTCCTACCCTATTAACTCAATTAATTCCTATCCTTCTGGTGAAAAGCTCTTCATATAGAACATTTACCCAGACAAAGTGAGAAATGTAACATAGGAGAAAAATCTATAAAATCTTATAAATGGGAAAAATTCTATTTTTTAAAAAACATAAATAAATTAAATAGCCACAATTAATAATAAAATATAGAATTAAAAAGAAATGGATTGGGAAATCAATTAACAATAATATTTTTGAATCATTTACATACTAACTGTTGGAAAAATTAAATTTAATAAAAAAAAATATGAGATTGCCATAAATAAAGATTGTGCAATTTTTGGCAGTTGGTTTTAATATATAAATTAATATTTAAGGAATTATGAAACAAAAATAAGTTTTGG